CCTCAGTTCCTATTTCAACAAAAAAAATTAATTTCATTGTTTGTTTTATTTTTTGTTTCGACTAAACAACGGAAATTCCTACTTGTCCTTATGGCAACGATAACAACAGCGAATTTTCTTACATTTCGTTTCTTTTTTCTTTTTCTTGTGCCAACAATGTCCGTCCGTCTGTCTGTCCTTGCGTCGTTTGTTATTTCCGGCATTTCTTGTTATTCGCTATCAGCGTTTCTTTGTTGTTGAATGATATCAAGTTTCCATTTCATTTTATGTTGTTTTTTCCTCATTTTTTCTTTTGGATAAGCTTGATTTCATCGGTTTCCATTTGTTTATCCGTTTTCTGTTCTGCCTCTCCATCTCCTCCAAATATTTGGTGATTGAATATTTTTTCCTAATTTTTAGGTAATTTCCGGTCGTTTGAACATCTTTAGTGCCATCGAACAAACGACAAAGGACATTGTGACATAAAACCACTGAATAACAATAATTATAGAACACTTAAGGGAATTCCAACCATCCAAAGGTAAAGGCGACTAAGCAAAGAAATCTTTGAACAGTTTGAAAGGTATAATTTCCCCTGAAGTGTTATTATGCGAATAATTGCTGATTTTTGTATTTTGTTTGTCTGTGGCTTGAAGAAAATTAGGAAATGAGGTAATTTTGTTTAGGGGAATATTTTACTTTAACTTATCAATATTGCAAGTGGATGTTTGGTGGCCATAAGGGTAAATTTTTTGGGAATATTTGTTGTAGGTTTATAATAGGTATTATCTTGGATTTTAAAGAATATTTGATTAAATTTTATCATAAACCTTATTTTTTGTAAAATTTTATTTCTAGAAGGGCAATCATGGGAATTTGTTTAATGATTATTACAAGATATTTTTTGAATACAAGCAGGCCTCTAAAAATAGATTTGAAACAAAATCCAAAATCTGAGAGGTTTAAAGGATATCTTACATAGGACTGTGGCGGATTTTTTTCGAAAAACTATTGTACTTCTAATCTTAGATATGTAAAGAAGACATTTCGAATATCTTCCGAAAGACTACAAACATCTAATCATTGATACCTAAAGAGGTATTTTAAGGGGACCCCCCCCCCATTCTCGGCGTCAAATTTTTTTGATATAATTCAAATCTACACAAATTCTAGAATGTCCCTACAAAATTTCAAGTGAAAATCTCAAGAACTCTTGAAGATATAGCCGATTTATTGTGTTAGCATCAAGTGACGGCTAAAGGGCTTCTCAAACTTTAAACGCGTTTTCTCTTTTGCGAATGGCGGGCACGATGACTCAAAAACTAATAACCCAATCGATTCCAAATTTTTACACGTTTCTCTGTGAGTGTATAGCTATCGTATGAACTAGGATAAAGCCAATCGGTAAATATCTTCCTTATATTTTAACTTGGTTTAACTTTTTGAAAAATACTTTTTCAAAGGTCCGCCATTTTGTTAATTTTAGAGCGAAGTCAATAATCCTAGTTCATACAAAAGCCAGACATGTACTATTTCTAACACCATTGGAATTTTCCGATTCCGATGTTCCAGTGAGGAGTTATCATGCCCGCCATCAAAAATAAGTACTTTTTTAATTACACAAAAACAACAACAAAACAATTACAAAATTTTTTTGTAAATTATTTTTCTTCTCTTTTAAATCTATAAATATATATGCACATATATATAAATATATATGTGCAAAGTTACAAACCTTAAAAAGCATTGGTATTAATTTACCAGCCCATTGAAAATCTTGAAAAATTAAAATCGTGGAGGGGGGGGGGGGGTGGGGGGATTCCCTTCAAGCATATTTTTATCGGACTTTTCTTTCTAATTATTTTTTTTAGAAATTATGTTGTCCCTAGCCTGATATATATTGATATTTTAAATTTCTCTTGGCGGTGAGGGGTATAAAAAAGCCCTTACTGACCAAACATTTTATTACAGTTTTTAAATCCACTCTACATTAATATTCTCCTTGATTTAACCAACACCACAGTCTAAAAAAATCCTTATTGTTGCAACATTTTAAGTGTTTACATTACTCTACCTTTTTTGCTGTCTCTTCTTCTACTAATACTTCTTCATCGCATTTAAGGATATTCATTTCAACTTTAAAAAGTCGTTAAAATATTTGCATATTCTTAAAGAGCTATACAAGTCTAAATGTGAAGGGTCTTTCGCATTGTATTCTATTTACGTTTGTACGTCTTTTTTCTGTCTTTCTTCATCAGGTAGTGTGTACACAAAAGGTGTCAGACGGGGGAAAACAAGGTACAAATGCCTTTTTATTGTAACGAGTTTAGTTTGAAAGAGTTTAAGGTAATTGGCATTTTTTCCCATCTGCAGTTACTTGCATTTGAATAATATTTGAAATATTTGTATTAAGAAAAAAAAAACTACAGCTTAGTAATGCATAAATGAAAGTTTTGTATTCTTTATAATTGTTAGCTATTTGTATTCTATATTTGTTTTTGTTCATTTATGAGCCCATGTTTATTTTACATACAGAGAGTAAGAGACAATAAACATGAATAGATTACGAAGAATTGTATAATTGATGTTTCGTATGATATGTGGTAAAAGTTCTTCAAATCGAATGAGGTATTTATGAGTCAGTGTATGTGTGTGTGTGTATTTAACTAATATTAAAACCATAAATGCATTTTTTAAGATTTCTATGAATATATGTTTTATTTCCCATTGATTTGCATTTCATTGGAAATGTATTTGCAGGGTTCTTATACTTCTTTTATAATATGATAGTTAAATTTACAATATATGTGTGTGTGCAAATATTTGTTTATGAATAACTATTGCAATGTAGCACTAATATAATGATTTGAATATTAATTTTGAAATATTGTTTATTAAGCTATTTTTGACAAGAACATAGTTTCAATCAGAGGTTTTTTGCCTGCTCCAGAGACCACAATTATGATCCGAACATTACGAAATTTTTCATATTTGACCAAGGAATAATCATTACTCTTTTCATAACAATCGGACAACATTTATCGGGTCAAATGGATCCAAACTTTTGTACAAAAAATGACACCGTATATCCAAGTAAGTAAATGCCAGGGTAGGATTATGAGATGTTGACGAAATATATTCCAGGTTCAGAAGACCAGGAGAATGTTAAATTTCAGTGGCAGTTGTGTAGGATATCATATGGTCGGCCTGTACGACTACACTGCTTCGCTCACTGGTTAATAATATTATGAGCGTGAATATAATCAGAATATTTTTTAAGGACTATTACAGCCATATAAGCCTAAACTATTTTGGAAGGATTGCACTGACATAAGCGTTGAGTTTAATGAATATTTCTATAGCACTATCCGACTAAGCGTGTATTTCAAAGAATGTTTTTAAGCGGGATTTTAAGAAAATTTAAAAAAATATATGATTTGGCATTGTTTTAAATTAATATATTGAAGGCCTATCAAATCTCTAAGCATAAATTAAAGAAAACCAAAATTTTAAATTCGTTTAGTGAAATGGAATGAAGTTTAAATTTCAAATATCTTAACATTTTCGAGGCTTTAATTTGGGGCTAGGGCTAAGTGGAAACATGTATTTCTAGTAATAAGTTGTTTACCCATAAAAACTTCGGTAAAATAAAGGAAATGCACCATGGTCAATCAAAATATCTAAAAAGGCTTATATCTTTTAAGAGTTTTCAAATCGGTTAAGATTTAAATGTAATTCTCATAATATTTGGTCCGGTTTTATGTAAATGGTACACCGACGAAATGTAACTTCCATATACACGGAAATTGCACTGCGTATTGAACGGAATCAACCTCAATGACGTGTGTCAAGTTTTGTTGAAATCGGTTGAGAATAACGTATATTAGATTTTGTAAAATATATCAGATGTAAATGTAACCCTTGTATATCTTCGTCTGAGTTCATGAAAATTGTACACGGATCGAGATTAAATTTTGGACAATGCACTGCGGTGCAGCATATCAAATGGTGTATGCCACGTTTCCATACAACTCCCATATATAATTCATCAATATTTTATGACTGTCGGGAAAAATAATTGGATACAAGCTTTAGCTATTTCCTATGTCTGTGTAGGACCTATGTAAGTAAGAATAACCAGAGAAAATAGTCCTGGGGATAGTGGATCACCTGTGGAAGCACTCCAAACTTAAAACTAACGTTTAAGTAATAATAATATTTTAAAAAAACTTTCTAACTTCAATTTAAAAGAACTTTGCCTTTGAAATAAAAAACTATGGTAAATATGTTACGTGTCTTGGTATAATTTTAACATTGTGATATTTTAGCTGTTCCGCAAAACAACGTAATAAATTTCAACTTTATTTCTGTAGTTTAGCACTATATGTACCTTCGAAGATAGATGTAATGGTTCGAGTATGAGGTTTTACATAATATTTGTTAAATTAAAAAAAAAGAAAATGAAATTGATAGATATTAATTAGAAATTGTTCAAGTATTTGTTAATAGGAGCAAAATAAAGATTTTGTTTAATAAAAGGTCGGTATATACACACTGATGGATTTTATTCAGGTATGTAAATATAAACAATATTAAATAAGGGGCGAATATTTACTCGGGAGTTTTGGATGCCGTCGTTATAACAGATATGTCGTTAGAAACTATTTCGACTGTAGTCTGGTATTGGTTTTATAGTTTTCTCTTTTTAAATAAGAATTAATCAATCTTGTTTTCTTTATATATTTGTTGACTCTTCTAATGCAATATCCCATTTAAACATGTACGTGTTTCTGTGTTCTACTTGTATGTTCTTTATAGCTTGTTAAGTTGGCTAAGTGCCACACAAAACTTTACATTACATAGTATGTGATCATGTGACGTTGCTGGTTTTACATCTAACACAAGGTTTTAATGCACCTGATAGCCGTTTGAGTAAAAACGACGATAAACCCCAAACCAGCATCTGCATCGTCATCATCTTAGGCAATATTAACAATGCAAACATTTGCGTTCAAACTTACCTGAGCGTTTTTCTGCCTCATTAATTGGTACATTCTCCAATACAATTGCCTCGGAGCGTCCTTTTTGATTGACACTGTACACAACTAAGTGTAGGGCAGGATTTGGATCGGGATAATAGTCCATGGGTGTTAAATCTGTAGAGGGGAAAAATTTATATTAAAATTGTATTTCAAATATGTGAGAAAAAATGCATTAGAAATTGTAATTGTATTAAGAGCAGACACGCCATACTTGGAGCGATGAATATTTGGGAGAACACGTAGATAACATAGACCGATACTTGACAGATACAACCTCCTTTCTTAAGAATGTGATTTATTTGTTTTTAATATATATCTCATATCATACTAAAACCATAATCATTGCAATATTTCCTTCATTTTTCTAATGGACATTGCAATTAAATCATGCACTACGTGGAAAGTCTTCGATGTATTATTCCTTATAATAATATTTACTTTTCCCCTGAAGGATTAGAAAGGTAGGTAAAAAATCCTTGTCTGAAGATCTCACAAAGACATAAAATTCTCCCCTTTAAGACCTATATGTTATTTGAAATTCAAGATTAGGGACTGGAAGGTTTCTATAAATATTCCTAACAAGTAAAATGTCACCAAGAATTTATCATTTAAAATATATCAAAAACAATCGGCACTTTTATATGGGGTGGTGGCAATTTGTTGCCAGGAAAATCCGAATTATCCAACTGAAGATACTTAGATTTTGAGAATTAAAAACTTTCCGAAAATGGGAGGTGACATATGTATGGTATATTGAAAATGCTCTGTGAAAAATGTTGCTCACCGATCAAGGTCTCTTAATACCAAATCACAGACACTTCGGAATACTAAAATTTGGTGTATATGTTTGAAACAGGAAAAAGGAAACGAGATAGACACATGGTTCCTTTTGAGAATATGCATAGAATCACTTTCTAAGTCGATGGGATGAATCCCATTGAAATTGGTGGTAATATATTTTAGTTCGATTTTCAGCAATTGGTGCACCCAAGAGCCAAAATTAGGTCGATTTGCACGAAATTTTGCACAAAGTACTGAAGTTATGATAGCCTAATGTGTGCCAAGTTTTATTAAAATCGGTTAAGATTTAGATATAGCTCCCATATATGTATGTTCGTCCGATTTTTAGTAAATGGTGCCCAGATAGTCACATTAAGACTGATCAGCATAAAATTTTGCACAACGTACTGAAGTTTAGATAGCATAACGTGTGCCAGGTTTTATTGAAATCGGTTCAGATTTAGACATAGCTTCCATGTATATTTTCGTCCGATTTTTACACACAATTTTGCACAATGCACTTAAGTTAGGATAGACTAAAGTGTGCCAAGTGTTATTGGTTCTTATTTAGATATAGCTCCCATATATATTTTCGTCCGATTTTAACCAAATGGTGCACCAAACTATCAAATTTAGGCGGATTGGAAAGAAATTTTGCACAATGTACTGAAGTTAGGATAACGTGGGGTTTCCCTTATATGGGGGCTATGGCCAAACGTAGCTGATCTTCGAACTTGACCTGCCTGTAGACAAAAAAAACAACTGTATATAACATTTTGGTGATCTATACCAATTCGTTCAGAGGCTGGAATTTTACGCTGATCAAAAATATATACTTTATAGAATTGTAAATCGGTTCACATATGGACACATATCACATATTTAATGTAGTCCACTTTCATGCCAATGGTCCGAAATGCGAGGTCAGTCAGGATGCTTCTTCTGAATATAGCCAAGGTGGTAAAGAGTATCATATAGTCGGTCCCGTCCAACTTTACTTCTTTCCGTACTGTTTTTTTTATTTATTTTATTTTTTCTGAAGGAAGACCAAAATATAACTCAAAATATCTTGTCATAGCCAACTCTGGACATGTATAAAAAAAACCTTACATAAAAAAGCTTATGATGCCATTAACAAAAATGAAGCAATATTCCACGTTAAAACCCTCACAAAAAAAAAAATATTTGCACACCCTTCTAACTTTTATATCAATGAAATTTAGTACGAAAATATACTTATTCATCATCAATAGCCAGGAATCCCTAAATACCCGAAAAACACACCTACACATCTATCGGAGTTTTATACACCTCATTATACAATTTCAGGTCTCAACATCATCACTAATTCCCAGTAAAAGACAAACAAAAACAAGGAAGATAGAAAACAAAATGAAAACACACCGAGCAAACAAAAACTTCAATAATCAAAGTTTGGCTCATTAAACACGACATGAAAAAAAATTCAACATTAAAAGAGTTTTACTAGCTAAATTTGCACTCTCTTCTCGTAGTCGATGTTGTTGGCGTTGTTTGATTAAAGTAAATTCGCCTGGAGGAAAATTCCCCCTACCGCAGCACCGGGATTCCAAGTATTTCAAAGGTTGGTGGTGTTGGCAAAGATTGTATTGCTTGGTTACGGCAAGCTCTTGCCGCAAAAAAAGCAAGACGCCAAATCAACACCAACAACAAAAAAGAAAAAAAAAAACATTAGAGCTAATGAGAAGCTTATAATCGTTAGAAAATGAAAAAAATAAATAGAAAATTCCTGGTTACTTTTTCCAATCCTTTTTTGTCTACATCATATCCTGGTAATTCCTACTCTTATAATTATCGAAGTTAAAGAAAAAACTCTCAATGATTTGCCTGTTTGATTTTAAGTTTTTCTGTTTTTTTCTGGGAAAGAACCGTGTTGTCATTAGAAGTTGGCATGACTTAAAAGTTTTGTGTTGTGGTAGTTGTGGGGAGGAAGGGGTAAAAAGTATTGTTCAAACTTTGATATGTTAGAATTGTATACACAAAAACAAAAAAATCCGCATTTAAGTACAATGTTACGGTTGATAATTTTGTGTTGTTGGAAGGAGTTCATTTGCAAGGATAACCAAAGTTTTTTAGGACCCATTACTTATCGAAAGTAGCAGCCGTAACAGCGAACTAACGAACTGTTGACGTTCGGTTTGTTGACATTACATCTTTGCTTTGGTAATTACGCAACTAATTAATGTTATTTCAATAAGTACTCCAATGCCGCTACTGTTTGTCATCCACAATTCGCTGACGCTCGATAACACCACACACACTCACTCACACACACACACTAATACATATACAGGTAACAGCAATAAAAGTAAGCCAATCAACCAATAGTCTACAGCCTATTAAAAGGTAATTATCGGCAAATAGCACAACCATTACTATTGGAGCGTGACTAAGTGTGAGATTATTTGATGTTTGTATAAAATATTGTACGGACACATATACATACATGGTTATACACGCGTATGGTGTATGCATGTTGATTATTTTGCAAATGTGAATTTTGTGCACCCATGTAGTTTGATGTGTGTGATTTGTGTCCTCTTAATCAGTCAGCAACCTTTCGTATTTGTTAGACACCTCACTGTGTTTTGTAATGGCCTTACTTTAAATTTCCACCCAAAGAAAGAGGGAATATGTCAATGACAGCTTTATTAGGGGTGGCATATTTCAAGATTGTATTAGTCAATGAAGTCTAGAAGAGTCTTGAGTTTGAGCATATAGAAAATCCACTCTTAACTAAAAGCGCCAGATTTTTATTGGGAAACGAGAAAAAATAAAGCAATGGAATGTAATACAAAAATTAGTTATTTGTATATATAACCACACAAACTGCGATAGGTTTTTGTGTGTGATCAAAAGCTCTTGCGACATTATGTATGGTATATGGGTAAAAACTATTATTTTCAAATACCAACATGATATGACTATTTGTTAAAAGTTTAGAGTTACAAAATTTTGCTGAAATTGCTTAACGTGTTTATTTAACTAATCGCAAGTTTATGCTTCGTTGAACTTTTTGTTATTGTGAGGATTTAAATTAAAAAAAAATCTCCTTCCATTATTACAACAAACCAACATTAATTAGTCCTTTATTTTGAAAGTTGTTTAAGTCCATTTTTTCTTATATTGAGAAATTTAAAGGTGTGGGTGTGATATGTTTTAAAAATATTGGTAAGTGGTATTCGATTTGTTTGTAGCTTTATGCCCTTAAATGGGATATAATATATAATGTAATTTGTAATGTATATAAACTTTTGTAGAAAACCAAGATTTGTATCAGAACCTAAAATGGACTTAAGGGAATCCCACCCATTCTCGGTTTCAACAAATTTAATTTTGTATTTCGATTTCAACTTTTGGGATATTTCTCTGTCAGTGTTTAGGTATCGTATGAACTAGGATAAAGCCAATCGGTGAAGATCTTCCTTATTTTTCAACTTAGTTTGTGGTCAAAAATAGGCGATTTTCCAAAAAAAAATCAAAGTTCCGCCATTTTGGTTATTTTTGTGCGAATTCAATAATCCTAGTTCATACGAGAGCCTGGCATTTACTCTTTCTAACACCTTTGGAATTTTCGGATTCCGATGTTCCAGTGAGGAGCTATCATGCCCGCCATCAAAAATAAAGACATTTCATTAATCACAAAAAACAACAACAACAATTTTTTGTAAATTATTTTTCTTCCTTTTTACAGCCTCAAATATATATATGTGCAAAGTTACAAACCTCTACACAGCATTGGTATTCATTTAACAGCCCATTTAAAATCTTAAAAATAAAAAATCGAGTGTTCCCTTCAACCACTTCCGAAATAAACGACTCAAATTATCTATGGTATGATTTCACTTCTGGTAGGGGTCATAACATGGAGGAAGTGTGGATTTCTCCAGAAAAATAATTACTCTTTGAAATTGATACCCATATTGCTTTCGTGCATTTTCAAAGTCATTGGGAAATGCAAGAGTATTAGCGGAATATTGGGAGCTCATATCGGAGGAAGCACGTATTTCGTTGTGGTAAATTTAGCTCGGCTCCACAGAAGTGTACAACGAATTGGATTATTTTAGAATATTTGGGGTGGAGGAATATCAAGGCTAAAAACATGGATTTTTATACCCTCAACCGTATGCGGGAGTGCATATTAAATTTATCATTTTATTTAAAAAAAAAAACTCCAAATATTCGGAAATTACGTTAGAGCTCATTATTATACCCTTTACCACACTGAGGTACAGGGTATTATGTCTTTGTACATATGTTTGTAATAGGCTAAAGGAATCGTGATGGTACCTTTTGAGAATATGAATAGAATCACTTTCTGAATCCATGTTAAATTGTGAACAAAGTACAGATCGCATTTATGATCGGAATTGGGTAAAACATGGCACAGATCACTTATTTGGCCCAAGGACGAACCTTATTGAAATTGGGGAATATCGGTTCAAATTTAGATATAGCTCCCATACATAGTTTCGTCCGATTTTATGTGAATGAAGCACAAAACTCCCAATATTTTTCTTCGATTAAGATCAACTTTTCCACAACGTACTGAATTATGTCCAGACTGCGAAGTCTTATTAAAATCGGTTCAGATTTAGATATAACTCCCATATATTTTTTCGTTATGTGAATGATGCACCAAACTCCCAATATTTGTTCGATTGGGATATAATTTTGTATAGCGAATTCAATTGAGTCAAGAATGATGTGTGCCGAAGAGCCTATGTTTTTCGATTTTCACGCTAGAGTTAGGTTCATGTTTACCTATAGCCATCATACATAATTTTGCTCGATTTCAAACAAATGGTACACCACAGACTCCAAGCCTGTCCGTTTTACATGCAATTTTTTTTTGAATGGTATTTCAGAATGGTATGTGTATGACATTTTTTAATTGGTTGAAATATCTATGGATATCACACATTTAATTTCGCCCGATTCCATCTTAGATGCTATGTCCGACTTTTTTTTCAATTTTTTTTATTCAATTTTTCTCATGTACTCTAATAATTTCGGAGTTATAAAGCTGAAAACCTGAAAAATAATCTTAGAGCCAATTCGATGGAAAAAAGTGCCCCAAAATAATTAATTAGAGAGATTTTCTATTTAATAAAAATCTAAAATACCCAATCTAAAAGTTGTTTAATATTAAAATGTTTTTTTTTATAGAAATATTTTCTACCCTATAGGAACCCAAAATACAAAATTACAGAATACACAAAAGCGAAAATTTCGAATATTAGATGCTACCTTTATATTAGACCCTTTATAATATTTGTTATAACATTCATATAACTGCACACTTTTTCAACCGAATTGGCTATAGTTTCCTAGTTTTGTTTCTCCTAGGGTACCTCAAACACCCCGATATAACAGTAGCTCCAAATTAGTAATCAGGTAAAAAAATCCGCATAAAAAATTGTTAATATTGGCCTAAGCATCAGTGCAGCTCCATGCAAGAGTACCACCATTATTTGGTAATTTGGATTACCATCGTGTGCAAATCACCCTGTATCCTTCGTAATATTTAATAACAATATGTCATCCATCTTCACAACTCATTTCTGCACTTTTTCAATATTTGTAGTCTTATTTCCTTATTATATATTCGACAATTGAATCAATGCCTTCATTTATAAACCGAAATATTTCAAGCAATGAAAACAATTAACAGATTCAATAACATTTCATTTGAACCCTGAATAAATATAACCAAATAATTACCAAGAATTGGTTACCCTCCTGCTTTCTTCATCCTTAACCACATCATTCATATTCATAATTTTCCAAGAAAGAGTAAAGAGTAATTTTACTTACCACTTAAATCAATACGAAATATCGGTACATCGGCATATGTACTAGTCGTATTCAAACGCAGCTTCTTTGTTTTTGAATCGTACGCTTCCAAATAGTAATGCTGTTGCAGGCCACCATCATAGCCGGGCATACATTCCAGTTCCATGGTCGAGTAGATGATATTATCGTAATTGTCAAAATTGATGGTACCACCACCGCCACCATTGCCAATGCCACCGATACCATTGCCTAGCATATCTGAAGCCGATGCAATGGGGCCACCATAAGGACTTACAAGACTGTGGGTAGCAATGCCATTGTGAAAGCTATATTCCATACGTGAATAATCAAAATGTGGTTCATTATTCAGATCACTTGTATCCATGTTGTTGGTGTTGTCGTTGGCAGTAGTATTCTCATCATTATCATCTTCGGTGTGGCTAGCAGTGTGTGGGGGATAAGGTGAGTTGTCATTCAGGTACAATTTGTGTTGTTGTTGCTGCTGTTGTTGATAATAATGATGATGGTCATCATTTTGTTGATTGTTATTGTGTCCATTCCTCATGTTGTTGTAGTTGTTGTTGTTATTTTTATTGTTCAGTTGTGTCAAAGCACTGGCTGTGGGTAACGGCTGACCTGTTGTTGTTGTAGTAGTGGATGCTGTAGTGGTCGTTGCCGTTGTTGCTTCTGAATAATTAATGTTTTGCATTGCATGATTTAGACTCGATAAAACTTCATCTAGGACTTTTGGATCATTCAACGAATAATCTTCAACAATTTCGGCCAACAAATCATCATCATCATCATCGTTCTCATTGCAATCAGCTTCCATATCTAAATCTTCTTCTTCCAGACCCATATCTACATCATCATCATCCTCCTCTTCCATTAATTCGGCAGTTTGATGCAGATCATCATTCTCCTCATCCATACCACTGACCAGAGTTTCATTGTCGTCATCCTGATTGGACATTTCATTGAGTAAGCTATTGCTGCTGTTGTGTCTGTGTTTATTGTATTGTAAAATATTATTCTCAAATATATCTACACTTTCTAAAGCCATTATTGGGTCATCGTTAGATTGAAAAGCAGCCGAACCAACATCATCTTCACTTGCCTCATCGTTGGAGGGATTTGTCCTTTGAGGGCTGGGAGATTCTTTGCTATTGAATTCATCATCATAGGAGGATGATTTTAAGGATTCCAGGGTGTGATGTTGCTGTTGTTGTTGTTTTAAATTTATATGTTCTTGTTGTTGTAACAATGGATTTGTAATTTCAGGTTTATTTGGTGGCATTTGACCCAGTGTTGCTTGCCTCTTCGTAGATGCTGGGGAATATTTATTCAGTTGGCCATTTGTTGAATTGGTATTTTTGTTGTTGTTGCCATTTGTTGTTTTGTTAAATATTTTGTTGCTGTTGTTATTTTCATTCTTATCATTCAATAACTCAGCATAGAGTATTTCTTTAGTATCCTCGTTTTGATTTAATGATTTGCGTATTCTCTTCTTGTCCTGCATTTCAATTGAGTTGTTAATATCCTGCCCAGCCTGTCCCGGATTATTATAGTCATGCTGACTGTCGGTATGATCCTTGCCATCATTAGTGTGATATTCATTAGCCTTGTCTGTTGTTAAATGCTGTTGTTGCTGCAATGTTTGATACAAATTTTTTGATGTCTCCGAGCCTGAAGCCGGGGCTCTAGATTTCGTCGTATCTTCAGGTTGATACTGTTGTTGTTGCTGCTGCTGCTGATGATGCATTGCAACATCCCGTTTGGCTAGTCGTTTTTGTAATTTGTTCGAATGGCTGAGTTTCTGGGTTTCAAATTTTACTGATGATTCCCCAGGAGCTGTCGCTACCGAATCCCTTCTCTGTTGCTGATGATGTTTCTGATGTTGCTGCTGCTGCTCCCGATGCTGATGATGATGATGAATTACCCCTATTGTATTTATCTCACGTTGTTGCGTGTTTTTCAAATGTTTATTGTTGTCACGATTTTTGCTGTTTTTGTTGGTGGCAGTGGCTACCTTTTTTGTCCCTGCTTCGGAGCTCAATGATAAATTAGATTTTCCCCCACTTCCATGTGTCGTTGTCGCCGTCTTGGTGGAAACTTTTCCATTGTGTCGTTTCGATGATGTTTTCTTGCCACTCGAATGTTGTTTCTTTGGAATTTTTGTTACAACATCATCATCATCAGCTCTCTGGCTCTGGTCGTGGCTCTTAATATGACTGTGGTTTTTATCTTTTCCGGCAACTGGCTTTGACACAGCGGCAGCAGCTCGTTTGGTTCTCAGTTTTTTCTTGTTGCCCGTTGTAGTATTTATGGCCATTTTATTTTTGCCATGGCTACCCTGTGATGCGGACGATGCTGCTGCTGATGATGACGATGTTGTTGTTTTTGTCATTGTGGTAGATGCTGGCGGTGAGGCTGACAATGACAATCCATCACTTTGATTATTGATAAATGCTTTGGATGCGGTGAGTGCGGCTGCTTGTGGGCCTTGTCGGGTTTTTATTACTGAGGCTGCAGTTGCCTCTTGGCTGGCATGTTGCTGCTGTCTGTTAACAATTTTATTTTTGCTATTTTGACGATATTGCTGTTGTTGTTGCTGCTGATGCTGTTGAGTTTGTGACGATTTGTTTTGTGGTAACTGTTGTTTATTTTTATCTTGCTGTTGTTGCTGTCGCTTGAGACCGACCAAGGCCACCGAGGGGGTAAATGTGGTGCGTTTTTTTAGAAGTTGCATTTGTTGGGGCGTCAAGGGCCGGCGATATTTTTGCTGTATCATTTGTTGTTGTTTTTGTTGCTGTTGTATAACATGCTGTTGATTAATATTGTTGTTAGTTTTGCTAGCCATACCATTTCCAGAGCCTTTGTTGGTGTTGCCTTTGTTGTTACCCTCATTGTTAATTTTATTGTGGATTTTACTAGCATGTTTTCCATTGTTACTTGCAGCAGGATTTACTTGTTTGGGATTCCTAGTAACACTCGAACCACTAGCACCACCACGAGCATCAGCATGATTATTATTATTGTTGTTGTTGTTATTATTATTATGTCGCTCACGTACAAATTCCATATGCGGGAAATTTGTTTCGTGCCTTCCATATTGTGTTGGCATCATCATTTGATTGGCATGAATTGTTGTTTGATTCGATGAATTTAACGATGCTGAGGTCACCACATATGGCCTTAGGGTACAGTTGCGTAAAGCTCCTGGTTTTGCTACAAAACCAAACCGAAAAAAATAAAGGGACGAGATAGAGAGAAAAACACATGAGTATTATTATTTAAAAAAAAACGTCAATAACCATTGAATATCTATTCTCCCCATGTTTGGATACAACAAAAAAAGGATAATCACATCACATTGGCCAGACATGGGGAGAAGTGGCAGAAGTAATATTATTACAACAAAAAGTAATATCATTATGTATAATTTTGATTTTTATTTCTATTTAATTCGAATGTTTGGACAAGATTTTGATTTTGTATTGTGATTTAACTAAATTGCTATCAAATCAATGTTTTATTATTATGCCCAATAACTAAGCAAACATGATTTTTATTAGGCAATAAAATTAAATATAAAAACTTAATTTTGTTTGTGTGTGTGAAAATTTAATATGCAATCAAATTCATGGATTTATTAAACGGAAAATTTAAAATTTTCGATATTTATACCCTTCACCACACTGTGGTACAGGGTATTATGTCTTTGTGCATATGTTTGTAACAGGCAAAAATAAACGAGATAGACACATGGTTGCTTTTGAGAATATACATAGAATCACTTTCTAAGTCGATTTATGCATGTCCGTCCGTCCGTCCGTCTGTCTATTGATGTTAAATTGTAAACAAACGTCACATTTTTAATCAGATTTGGCTGAAATTTGGTACAGCTCATTTATTTGGCCCAAGGACGAACCCTATTGAAATTGGGAAAAATCGGTTCAGATTTAGATGTAGCTCTCATATATATTTTTGTCCGATTTTTGGTAAATGGTGCATCAAAGACCCTGAAAATCTTTCGATTTGCACGAATTTTGGCATAGCGTACTGAATTATGTTCAGAATGATGTGTGCCAAATTTCGAGAAAAGGT